TGAGTGAAGATGACCAAGTTGTAGTAGCAATGGGAGCCACCTGGGAGGAAGTTGGACACACGTGGCAGGGAACCGAAGGAAAGGATGCTGGCAGCTAGACTCTGGAAACAACCGAACGATCAAGATTTTCACTAAAACGAGTTCCATTGACTAAAGAAATACCACATAAAATTAATAAACAAAATTACAAAGAAATAATAAAAAACTCTTCCTACAATTTTCACCCATGGTTGTAGAGATTTTTTGAGAGCTAAAAGTGCATTTTAGCGTTTTAGCTTTTGGGATGTGGAGAGCCTAACACTCTGTTCAGGAAGGGCGGAAAAGGTAGGGAAGGGAGTTGTGGCCTGTGGGGAGGGAATCACGTTTCTCTAGATACTTTCCCCTGTTTTTTAAGTGCTGAAACAATACAAAAGGAAAGGAAACGGAAGGAAGAAACACACCTACCCTCCAAATCGGAGGGAAAGCTGCCACTCCCCTTTTCTTTCCCCATTATTTACTTTTCTTTTTATTTATTTATTTATTCCTTTTTATATCTAGCCAAGTTATAAACTGTCTCCATAATTTCCTCTTTTTCTATTCTTTCCTTTTTTGTAGGTAAGCATCAACGGCCAACACGTTAATTAATCTCCACAATTTTTTCCTTCTTTTGATAGGTGACTTAATTAGTTTAATAATCATAAACATAGTTAATAATTTTCTGGGAAAACATCTTAATAAAAAGGAGACTAATTAATTAGGTATAAATACTATATCATTTAACGTGATTTACATTAACCGTAACGTTATTTTGGGTAAAATGATTACATATGACGTACAACTTTTAAGTATGACGTAAAACTTTTTTACGTTCCAAGTTATATGTTAGAGTTTAAAATTTGGACCAGACCAAATCCGGAGCAAATGGGTGATTATGTTACTTATGACGTTTTTTACATGATACATAAAATTATTTTTTAATGTTGAACCAAATTAGTAATAAAAAAAATTAATCCACTATTTGTTAGTAATGAAAAAACATCAACAAATAATTAAATTATTTATAATTACATAACTATCACACTTCTCAATATACCTTTTCTCTCACACTTTTCTCCATTAAAACAACACTTTCCTTCCACTCTGAACTTTCTCTTCCTTCCTTTTCCCTCCTCTCCAAATGTTCTTTCCCCTTCATTTTCCTCTATTTCTTCGGAAATATAGTGTAAAATAGGGGTGGCTATTTGGACCGGGACCGGATTAAAAACCGGCAACCGGACCGTATAACCCGGACCGGGACCGGATAGTAAACAATCCAATCCAATCTTTGGGCTTAGATTTGAGGTAAAAAACCGGATAAGAGAGCTCAACACCCAAAACTTATGGGTAATTTGCATAAACGGTCACAAACCTTTGCACTTAGTACAAAACTTAACCAACTCTTCACCCTTTAAGGCCTTAGGCCACTCAAATCCCACAATCTCAATGTAAAATATAGACCGAATTGGGACCGGACCGGATCAAGACCGGACTATATCCAATCCAATCTTCGGTCCTTATATTTTTAAAAAGACCGGACTGGACCGGATCAATTTGGATCAATTTAACCGGACCGGACCGTATAGCCACCCCTAGTGTAAAAGGCTTTTACTCGGGTAATAGGGTTGAAGGCTTTTACTTTTGCTTTTTGTGCAATAGACTTTTCAACAAAAACTACAATATTTAGGTGTTACAAAGCGTAAAAGCCTAGTTTTTTTAGGCTTGAAAACTAGTTTTTGACTACATTGATTGACATGATGTTGGTGGGATAATGATATGCCATTGATATGAGATCTCAAGTTCGATAAAATAATTTAATTATACCATATCGTTGTCATATAATGATATTATCACTACACCAACATGTGATAATATCATGATACCAACATGTGCTTTGAATAGTTAATTTTTTTTTGATCAAAATATCGAAAAATGGATGTAATTTTTTTTATAAGGTAGCAAAATGGATATAATTGCTTAGATCATAATTAATGTATTTTTTCTATATAATTTTTTAAATGTCAACTTAAAACGAATTCGATTAAGAAAAACAAAAGATTATGAAAAATGTTTTCTCTCTTAGCTACCTTATCTTGTATATACGGTAGAATGGGAATTATTTTTTTAAAAGTTAGAAAATCAATTATTCTTTTCTTATTTTTTTAATTTAATTTTTTTTTTATGATGGAGAGAACTAACTTTTTATAAGTTATGATGTCCTAAATTCTTATCCTGCCCATATTTTTCAAGCCTGCCTACATATATATATATATATCCATTTCTATTTTTCCAACGAATTGATCGACTCGTATCTGTTACAAAATTCTTGTCCTTTCCATTACATGATAAAACAATTAAGCAGCAGCCGGCACCGGCAGTGTCTGGTCGTGGGCAAAACGAAGGAACATGATGATGAGCATTGTTTCATCTGAGGGAAAAACATGATGAGCATTATCATCAGACAATTGTGTTGTTAATTTTAATCAGGTTTTATTATCCGAGAGAGAGATAATACAAGGACTAGGTATTATTGATATGACGCATGGTATGACTACTTGAATATAGGATGACAAAAATATCCGTACTTGTTGATATTTGTCTGAATCCGACCTAATCGGGTAGGGTAAAACTCGAACCCGAAGGACTTTTAGTGGGTACGGGTAAAACCTGAACCCGAATGTTGCGGGTAATGGGTGGGCTTGGTTTTCTCACTATCCAACCCGAACCCACCCGATTATACACATGCATATGTATTTGGTCTAGAAATAACCAATATTTTTCTCTAACATATTTTATATCTAGCATATAAATATAATATTTTCATGAAATTGTGTTGTTTTAATTAATTTTCTTCATTCTAGTGAATTACTGTCGTACTTTTTGTCTTACGTAACGTGAGAATACGTGTGAATATTAATATATTGGTTGGAGTTATAATGAGAAATACTAACCATGGATAACCGTGGATACCCGAAACCCAAACAGCTAGGGGCATGGTTTGGATTTTCTAGCCGTTTCTTATGTGGGTATGGGTTAAACCCGAACTACTTTGGGTAAGGTAACAGATATGCACTATCCGTCCCCGACCCGACCCATTGCCATCCCTACTTGAATCCAATTGTTTATGCATGATAATGAAAATTAACAATAGGATTATGTTACATAGAGCATAGTTAGTAAAATACGGTACATAAAAGCAGTGGCGGATCCAGGGGGTGGCCACCCCGGGCCAAGGCCCAGCCCTCCCCTGGATTCAAAGCTAGTATAGTCTTTATGAGTTTATCGATTTTAGTCATTTGACCCAGTGTTATTTTATAATAAGATTGTGTGTAATTAGAAAAATGGGTAAGATGAACATATTCAAATATAACTCTAAATTTAGCCTACAAATTCTAACTCCAATGATTCTCATCTAAAGAAAAAAATAATGAAGCCTAAAATTCTAAAACGTAAAGGACTATAAGGAATATGAGGTTTATTCCCTTAAGAAATTACTAGAGTAGCTGGTGAAAATAGGAATTGATACACAATATATATTGATCAGTCGATTGATTTGTCCAGTGTTGACATTGCTCGTTTCAACAACTACTATGGAGAGAACCTTTTCAACAATGAAATAGGTGAAAAATTATTTGGCAACAAATGAGCGATAAATTTCTCGCCAATTGGTTAACTATTTTATTTTAAAGAGAGTATGCTATATTAAAATTTAAACGCCAATTGGATAAATTTCCCACCAATTGGTAAACTCCATTATTGATGAATTCACTATATTAAAATTTAAAAGATCTACGTGTACAATTGATATTGTAAAAAAAACTTTAATTTTCTTACAGTATCTAATTTTCTAATGAAATGCGACCCAGTGCTCTATTGTGTCCTGAATCTGCCGCTGCATAAAAGTTATATATAAAATATGTACGGGTATTTTACGTTATCTCTAAATAAATGTTACGTTTAATTGTATGTTAATAATAATAAATATATAAAATAATTTATTTTAAAAATAAAGAAATATATAAATAATAGTAAATTTGACAATTTAATTTATAAAATATGGATATTCAACGTGCTATACGGGTTTTATACGTATTTAGTACGGGAGTCATCAAATGAACGGGAAAACATGAAACAATTTGACAATAATACGGATGTGAAAGTTTTAAACGAATAAAATACGTATGATTACATATATGTGTATTAGACGGAGTATTTACTAACTATATCATAGAATCTATATTTATTATCACAAATTGAAAAACGGAAAAACAAATTTTTTTTGCTATAATTATCCCCGTGGGGAAGTAATAGAGAGACAAGTATACAAATCGTAGTAAGGTCAGGACTAGGAATTTTAAATTAGAAAAATACGATATTCTACAAGTGTATGTAATTTTAGCTAGCATACAATAGTTTTCATACCGTGGATAACACTCACTCTAATTATTGGACAATCTTGCACTCGTAGAGAAATTTTACAATGCTATATAGTATTGGTGCTATATGTTTTTGTCTTTATAGTACAACTTAAAATTGTACATTTACGTTATGGTACAACTTCATATTGTACCTATACTTTTTGTACAAATCCTTTTATGGTACAACTTGAACTTGTACCTTTATGTGATGGTACAACTTCAAGTTGTAAAGTTGTACCATAACATAATGGTACAAATTGCTTTATGATACAACCTAAACTTATATATTTAATGTTATTGTACAACTTTAAGTTGTACAGTAAAGCACCAATACTATATAACATAGTAGAAGTGCTCCATATTCTAACCACTACTAGTTAGCTATATTCACAATTTCCAAAATTTGTAAGAGTGTACACTCCTATAATAGGTTGATCAGTTCCTAAGATTACGTTTGAAGTAAAGAATTTGATAACGCGGAATAACAAGAACACGAGACAAACAATTTTACGTAGTATCCTCGATCGATTGATTGATCGAGACTAATCCACGGTGAGCTCGGAAGAGCTCACGGCTGATGTTTTATTATTTGATGACTACATGTTGACGGCTTGCTTACGACAGGACCGTAGCTAACCTTTATATAGAGATGTACATATGGTTAAAACCCTAATGAAAACCAAGTTTCCTTCTTTGACAAGGACAAGGAAACAAGGGACTTGTAGGACAAGGAATTAATTATTTTTGAATAAATAATTAATATCCTCAACACTGCCCCTCAAGCGAAGACATGAATGACAAGAATGTCGAGCTTGAAAAATGAAATGTGACGAATAACACTTCGGACGAGGTTGATTTGGAGATGACTGACTCTCTCCCTTGAACAACCTGATTAAGACGGTTGACTGCATCTTTTTGAACGTCGTGGCGGAGATGGTTGATTGCGTCTCTTGAACGACCTGACGGAGACGGTCGACTGCGTCCCTTGAATGACTTGACGGAGACGACTGACTACGTCTATCCATATGATATGGTGGGGACGGTTGACTGCGCCTCTACCTGGATGAGATTGATCGAGAGGCTGTTGATTGCGCCTCTCTTGAATTAGAGCGATTGAGAGACTTCTGACTATCGTCTCTCTTGAACGAGACTGGGGAACCTCCTTGACTTATACACCATGGTCGATATGCTGAACTGATTGACCATGTATGATGATGCCCTATTCTCCCCCTCAAGCTGGAGCATGAACAACATGAATCCCCAGCTTGAAAGTTAAAATGGTGAAGACGTAAAATTACCTGCTTCTGAACGCTGAGGCGACGATCTCTCCTTAGATCGTGACTACCTCGCTTGACAAACTTTGTTGACGAAAGCTCTTTTCTATTTTCCTAACACTAGCTATTGAAGAGACGATCATTGCAGGTTATGATTTCTTCAACGCCATGACCTGTGTTAATATAGGTGAAGATTCGCTTTGAATGATGATTCCTTACGAAACTTGGGACTTGGAAAATGGACAGAAACGTCGGTTATAGAAGACAACTTGTGGACATGCTGCTGAATGCATTTTCTCAACAAGTTTGGTGAACCTTGATTATAACACAAACTGATATGCATGTTGCAAAGTTTGTCTCGGCCTTCTGTGAAATGTACTAGGAGCAAGAATATTAGCTATCCAATTTTCCCACTGAGAGTTCATATATCCAAAAGACGACTACCACGCTGCTTGGGCCTGTGATGTAGAGCCCGCGGTCGATTGACTTTGGTACTGGGCTGAGCAACCGAACAGGAGCATCAAGCGGATGAGCTAGGGCTCTGATGCCGCGATGATGGAAAGGAATCTCCGAGACGTGAGAAACGTATCGATCACTGGACTAGGGACGGAGTTTCGGAACAAACGCCAAAGGACAGAACTCGTGCAGAATGATGCAGAGATGATGATGACGATCATTGCGAGGGGATCTGATGATCGTGCAGAAACTTTGACCTTGTATATGGCCTAGCGTGGCCGTTGACTAGACGAGGGTTTGAAAACCTTATGTGCGAGGGAATCTTCCCTCCAGTTTCAAGCTTGACTCTTCTTAGGACTTGAGGAAGCAGGTCAAAACTTAGCAGCATTGTTGATGCTGACTTGGATCGAAAACAAAATCTTCTCGCAGCCGTTCCTCTTAGCATCCTCGTTGTTCGGCGATTGATAACAAGAGCACAACCGATGATGACGGACGTCGACTATGATACGGATCCAGAGTAGTGGGCCGGAGTAGATATCGACTCTTCTTTCAACGGCAACCGTGACTATCGAGGGGATGCCGGGATGATGTTGGAGAGACGTCAACATTTAGTTGATTACTGGCCATGGCTACTGTGAAGGTAGCTTTTGAAATTGACTGACGACGGGCTGGACTTCACCTTGACTGCGGAAGCTCAAACCCCTAGACAAGGGATAGAGTTTTGCTCTGATACCATAAAGAATTTGATAACGCGGAATAACAAGAACACGAGACAAACGATTTTACGTGGTATCCTCGATCGATTGATTGATTGAGACTAATCCATGGAGAGCTCGGAAGAGCTCACGGCTGACGTTTTATTATTTGATGACTACATGTTGACGGCTTGCTTATGACAGGATCGTAACCTTTATATAGAGATGGGCATAGAGTTAAAACCCTAATGACAACCAAGTTTCCGTCTTTGACAATGACAAGGAAACACGGGACTTGTAGAACAAGGGATTAATTATTTTTGACTAAATAATTAATTTCCTCAACATGAAGTAACCTAATTTCTATAGGATAAAAGGAAAATAATGTCGATAACATGGATAGAAGGAAAATCCAAAATGATAAGATCAAGAAGATTCAATAGTATAAATTTCAGCAATTCATCTGTGTACTTGCAATGTTGATAGAGAATTCTCCTCCTCCAAGTAATATATGGAGATTCTATTTCAAGACACCTACCATTCAATTTTTCCTGGCCATTGCGCAGAGTACGGGAGGGTTGTTTAGTCTTTTAGGCCAGTTTTTTTCTCGCTACATGTGTTGTATTTATTTTTCAGCGGATTCTTTAATTTGGACCTCTAGAAAAAAGGTCTCTAATTTTTTAAATGGTTAGTTAATGTTGTTATTATGTTCATATTAAGTAAATACTCAGTTTAATACACGTATATGTACCCGTATGTATTTTATTCATTTAAAATTTTGTATCTGTACTATTGTTAAGCCGTTTCATTTTTCTATGTTCATTTGATGGCTGCCGTACTAAACACGTATAAACCTGTATCACACGTTTAATATCTTTATTCAATGAATTAAGTTTCTAACTTAACTATTATTAATATATTTATTTTTGTTTGGTCGTCCCCTTCTAAATACGTTCACTTCTGGCTCGTGAATGTTGTCTTTCGCTGGGTGGAGTCCGCGAAACACGTTCTTTGCTGCTTTTTTTGTTGCCTCTGGTCCTCTGCGTACAGTCTCATCAACCAACTCCTGAAAGTGACATTTAGCCTCATCCTCGTGGGGCACGTACTCCTGGGCATTGGGTGGATGCTCATAAGTCAGTGTCCGCCAATATATATGAAGATCACCCGGGTATATCTCTATGTCTCGCGCTCTGCCATCCATAACCTGACATCCACACCTCAAGCCGTGTGTCACAGAGAAATGACATGCATATCGGGAGTTCTCATTTTTTTCCAAATGGGCCGCCAAATCTTCTTCAACCTCCTTCATTAATATAATTTCCTGCATGTTGACCTTCCTTCTCAAGTATGTAAAGGGTGTACCGTTGGATGCTGAAACGGTTTTCTGTCGAGAGTTTTCCAACATCATCCTAACCTCCCCGAGTTGGATAGTAATGTAGCGGTGGTTTCCTTTCCATACAGTGTCCACAGATCCCCGCGAGTTGTGGAGGAAAGTTTTCAATGCGGAATGTGACGCCTCAACCCTGTTTGTGCTTGTATTTCCTAGATGAAACACATTTTTGGTATGCCCACTTCTCTCGATGTTTCCACCACACTCACTGTATGTATTACAACAGACAAGGTTCGTAATTGCTCCATCTTGCCCTAAAGCGGCCAAACGCGGCCTACATACCTTTGCTTGGAGCAAGAATAAAGCATAGGACACCAACCGTGATCGTAAGCCTCGTTGACCAAATCCATCCTGTCCTTCCCAAATATTTCCAAAAACTTCTTCTGCACATTAGTGCTGATGTGCCAAACACATATCAAATGAATGGTGCGAGGGAAGACCACAGAAACTGTAGCAAGTAGTCCACCTTCGTGGTCGGTGACGATGGCAGTGGGCACGCGTGGATGGAGCAATTGTTTTATGCACTCCAACAACCAATTATACGCCTCTTTTGTCTCCTCCTTCATGAGAGCACAACATATGTTGAAATTCTTCCCAACGGGAGTAGCACCTACGACCTCCACCCACGACATTTTATACGCATTGGTTTTATACGTTGAGTCGATCAGAATCACGTACGACCAAGCCTTCAACATCTGGATGGAAGTTGGATGGGAAAAAAAAGATGGGTAAGCACGTTGTTATCGTCCTTCATAACCTCTATATGATAATTCTCATGTTCAGTTGCTTGCAACGCATACTGCACTGCATTCATTTCGCCCATCTCGTCTTTCCTAGACTTGGACCCGAGGTTATACATTTGCCTTTTGGTGTGATGCCCTTTGTCACCCTTCTGCATGTTTATTGTCTGCTTCTGTTGCGACGGAGGTACCCCAACATCTCTCATCTTCTTTAGAGATTCTTTATCTTCCTGACTAAATTTCTTCCTTTGACTGTGGCCCTCCGGATAAAGCATCTTCTCATGATTGTGATACCCTCGCCTTAAACCGGTTTCTTGCTCCCTCACTTCTTGTATCTCTCAGAATGAAGGTCCATTAAGAGCATCTGGATCAACCAGTAGTTCTTTGATTTTAACCTTGAACATGCAATTAGACTCTTTTGAACTTGTATTGCCACGACTCTCCTTGGAAGGATCCGGTTTGTATGACTTTCCCTACTACATCTGTCGCAATACATATTACACATACCCAATACTCTTTTGTTGCGCAACTCACGTGGCTTCATCGATCCCTTAATTAGAAAGAAACCAAGAGACATTGCGATATTTTTGGTCACTGTTACAGCATCTTCGAAATTGTCATATTGGACGTCAATGAGAAAATTGTCTGTGTAATCACCATTTAGTTCAACATTGTAAGCCATGTCCATCTGCAATTATGATTTTACAACTCGTTAGAAAGATACAAATTATATGATTCTACAAAATTAAACTAAATGCAATAATTTAATTAACTCTACAAAATAACGATAATTTGACGATAAGAAATTTAATTAAATATAAATTATCAAACCAAATTAGCTCTACAAATTAAATCTAAATACAATAAACTAATTAGCGCTACAACAAAATACAATTACTTAATTAAACTAATTATGCTTTAATTGACTCTACAAAATTAAACTAAATGCAATCATTTAATTAACTCTACAAAATAACGATAATTTGACGATAAGAAAATTAATTAAATATAAATTATTAAACCAAATTAGCTCTACGAATTAAAAGCATTTTGGTGACATCGAGCGTAGATTTTGACTAAACTTGCAAATGAAAAGTGTGATTTTACATAGAATCATTTTGGTGACCTAGACGTGTAAAAGTGTAAATTTTTAAATTTTAAACCTTGATTTTGACTATATTGATGACTTGTATGTCTTTCAATAAATACAACCAATAACTCACTTAAATATAATATCTCATCCTATGACAATTGCGATGAAATAGAGTTGTTAAGAGAGTTTTTCCAAAAAGGAATAAAAAAATAACGAAATGAATTAAATTTGAATAAAATAATATATTTGAAATTAATTCACGTTGTCAAAATAGAGCTGGTAACAAATACATTAGAATGCAGTTAAAAAGAAAGACTCAATTATAAAATTTGAGGGTTGTCAAATGACATTAAATTCCATTCTAACATCACCACAATAAATATTTATACTACTTTTTAATCCCAATTCTAGAGTTAAGGTTTGTCAACTGAATACCCTTAGCCTAATGTGAGTTCGCCCCTGATTGTGGGTTGGTGGTCGGGTGGTGGTGTGGATAGTTTAAAAAATCAAACCAAAGAATAGAATATAAAAAAAATTTAGAGGACAAAATAATATTTTTAACTTAATTTATGGGCGACAAATAATAATGACACGAATGGAAAATAACACGCCTCTTAACTATTACCACTAACCTATTCGATCACGATAGAACATATGACTAATGATTAATCGATAACCAAGCAACCGGTTAACAATTAGACCTCAACTGATGAACAAAAGAGAACGGAAAACATGTGCCAAACTTTGCACTGACAAGGATTCCCGTTTCTGTAGTTTTATTAATTAGTCCAAACATGCGCTCTCGATTGCAGAGAAAGGGGATTGTTTGTATAATAATAATAATAATAATAATAATAATAATAATAATTATAATATTTATTATTATTATTATTATTATTATTGTCCATTTCATGTATAACAAATTAACAATGTTTATTTTCACATGTGGTAGTGGTACCATAGTAGCCCGTGACATGATAAGTGCTTCTTTGTTCCTTTGTTTCATTCTATTCTATCAAACATTATATTTATGATAAGGACTCATCCCCGAACTACCATGTCTTTAGCTTAGTTTGGTCCTGCTGTAGTTTTTGCAGAAGCAGCTTCTGGCTAAAGCTTTTAGATAAGTACTTTTTAAAAAAAGCAATTTAATGTTTGGCTGTAAAACTATTAAAAGTGTTTTTTAATATGAGTGGTTGTATAAAATGACTATAAAGGACTTATAATATAAAATATAAATAAAAATTCTAAACAATAAAAGGTAGTCAAAATGGATCTTGTTATATTTCTTTTATATTAAATAATATGAATTTATAATTTATTTTATTTTTAAAATGATATAAATGAAGGAAAATTATATTTTCTGAAATAAAATTAAAATATGGTAAGGATAATCTAGTATTTTCAAAACATTTTTTCGCAGAAGCTCCAAATCGGAGCTTCTGCTTTTATGTTATACAAAAGTGCTTTTCGGCTTTTCAAAAGCCGAGTTTTTAGAGTTGTTTGGCCCTGCTTCAATTTTTGAAGCCGAAAAGCACTTCTAAAAGCCGGCTTGTATTTGGAGCTATTGAAATAAGAAAAGTGAAACAATGCGCGCTTTTATATTTGACCAAAAAAATGATAAAATGTAAAAGACAACTCACAAAAATTGTTTTCCTATTTCGGTATAAAATTATATAATGTTTATTTAATAGTCATTTATAAATAATTATAATTAAGCAAAGAAAAATATTTGCTTTATTATGGATAAAATTGTGACATTTTTTATTCTTAAACATAGTTGGGCAACAACGGTCTGTAACAACTAACAATATAGTTTATTATAGTATGTTATTTGTCCCAAAAAGTCGCACAGAATAATGAGGCGCGAAACTGGAAATGCGAAGGCATAAACCATAGTGACTAGCTAGGTTTGGTGCCGTTAGCTTTCTTGATGAATCGAATATACCAGTATTAAAAAACGCAAGTGGTACAGGCAATCTAGTCCGCCAAACGTAACAGTAATGTGTACTAATCTGGAATTTTAAATAAAAAACAGGAGAAATTCATTTGGGCAAGAATACATATTCATCAATTGGGCAGTTTGCGTTGTCAAATACCATATAATTAATATGTGCTTCTTTCTGGTACGTCCAAACGTTGCATAAGGGATCTTTGCATCAGCAGACGGCCGGCCGGCCCCTAACAACCCTTTATATTATTATTATAATAATTAAAGAGAACAAATTTATGGGCCCCTGGATTATTGAGAATTAATAAGAGCACAAAATCTTAGAATCAGATCTTTCGTCCTGATAAAATATATAAGAAAGCTTCATGTACAAAATACAGTCTACATTCAAGCACTCACAACGGTTCCGTGTTTTTAATATTTGCACATAAGATTATAATTAAGAACGTCACGTAGGGGAAAAAAAAGACAAGTAAATAACAGAATATGAAGCTCAATTGCAACGAATATCATTTAACTATGACTTCTATTGCATATGAGCCACTTGAATTTTTATAGGCGTATGACTATGAGCATGATGACAACCACCTATATAGTCTTTTAGGTACGTAATAATTTGCAATTGCAAAATAAATTTCATTTTATGATTTTTAATTATTGTCAACTCACTATTTTGCAATCCGCCTCAAACTTTCATTCATCTACATGAATACAATTAATATGCAATTACATATGTAATTAAATATTATATTTAAGTTAAAAAATAAAGTAAAAGTGAAAGTGAAAGAGAAAAGAAAAGAAAAGAAATTTTTTTCATTTTTAGGCATTTTCTAGTATGCAATTGCATTTGTTGCAAGCTTGCAAATATACAATTAGTAGGCACATCAATATAATTGGTTGTGCTCTTTAATGCTAACTCAACTTTTTTGCAATCCAACTCACATAATTTCATTTATCTACATCAGTGTAATTAACTTGAAATTGCATGTGGGTAGAGATTAATTTTTTAATATAATAAAATGTTTAAAAAATCCGTGGACGCCTAAGTGGAATTGCAAATGAAATTGCAAAAAATGGTAGCTTGCATTGTTGCAATCCGGACTTCCATTAAATGTAATTAAAAATGCAATTGCATTTGAAATACCATGTCACTTTGCAATTGAATATGGTAGTTTGATGTGGATGCTAATTATATATATATATATGGTTCAGGCTAGCATACGTCACTCGTACATTGTACGCCCGTCGAGTTTTACTATTTAGAGCACGAATTAACCAAAGTTTGGGGCATGATACTATACCCTAACATCTAATGGGTGAACTTCAGTCCCTAATACTCTAACCCAAGCCGCACGATTTATTTAATCTAAAAAATAATAACCGACGGTTCTAATTAAGCGAAATGTATTGAAGTGCACAAACCAAGTGTAAACACAGGCGTACAACATACGCCTGACATACGCTCTATATATATCCTCCAATAATTAAATTTTTGGTTGAAACATATGCCTCTTGAAATTGACGATAGAGTGGATAAAAATTTGGTTGTACGACAAAGAGTGGTGGCTATTGGATCTATAGGTCTATGGTTTTTGTAGAGATCACAACCTATTTCTATCTTAAATCGAGGAATAATCAATTGATTTACTAAAGCAACTCGATTCAACCTACTGGAACTGATAGATAAGGAGTATCTAATTTTGTGTCTTATTACTTTGATCTGTTAGTATTTGGATGTAACCCTAATTTTTTGCTTGCTCTCAAGTTTTGATAGTACCCTCTTAGCTGAGTTTAGTATATAGTTCACTTGAATAAAAAACTCTCCATTTCTTTTTGATTAGTTGCATATTTTTCCTAAAATGAGAGCATTTTTTAATAAATATACGATTATCTTTTGCTAAAAAAAATCCTTTATGTAGGATTGTGAGATAGATTTCTATGGGTCGTGTGAGCTTTTATACTCTATCTTTATTGACAATCAACTAACCAATAGAATTTTAACGGGGCTTTATTATCACTATGAAAATGAAATCAATGATACATTTTCATATTTCATATTCTTAAATTATTGTAATGTTTCTCCGAATGTTCGACCTATATATTCTTTCTCTATGTATCATTTCGATCGAAGGATTGTCAATAAAATTAAACAAGGTAATAAACTTAAACATAATATAGAAATATAAATAATCAAATATGAACATTCCGGCCAACGGATCGAGTTATAAGCTACTATATATATAGGTTTATACAGTAACTTCTCTCAGAATATTTTTTGGAATATTCTATTTATTTGGATTGCCAATTTTTAAAACAAATCCGTCCTGTTCCTCCTTGCATATTACTCGTTAATTACATCTATTACAAAAAAACTCACTTATTCTGTTTATTTCAAAGAGCCTATGATACAAACTATTATAAAAGAACTACTCATGGATCTATATGAAATAGAAGAGAACTTTTGAATTTTAATCAACCTCTCGAATTAAAAATGAGTCAAGAACTAGCAGCAAATTTAAGTGTAGACTTGTTCTTGAATAACACTTCTTCAAGTTCACAGTTTTGAAGTGACACTTCCCAATATAAGTATTAAAAACCTTTTCTATCTTATCAATTAAAGAAGATACTATTGGGATATGGATTAATATGCCTACACGACTATAAACGGGCCCAAGCCCACCGCAAGGCGTCCCGGGCCCAAGCTCTATATAAGGAGGCCAAAACCTCCAAGCCAAGGGATCCTCTCTTTCCCCTCCTCACTTCTACCCTAAAGTCTCTCTCTAAACTCTCTCTCTACATACCATAAACTGCTTCCTATATCGTACTAACTTGGGCGTCGGAGCGTAGATCCCGTGGGCCGCCCCCCGCCTCACAGATTCTTCCACTCCCGAGGAGATCGGACGAGGGAGTCCAGATCAGAGCCCCATAACCGCCTAGTACATTCTAGGCTCAAACAATTGGCGCCCACCGTGGGGCAATAATTTGGAACTCGTTTGTTTGATTTCTGAATGAGGGAAGACATCGACTCTTTCCGCACCAAAGAGAGACCACCGCAGCATCTGCCAAACCCGCCAAGATTCGGCGGCTCAAGACAACAAAGAAATAGTCGGGGAGAGTAAGTAATGATATCCGTAGTTCTTAACTCCAGCCGCCAATCTTCCCACCGGCAGAGCAGATGTTGCTCCCTTTCGTATATTGCGCCATTACCAACTCAGGCGGAAACGAACAAAGGAGAAAGTTAGAGAATCGGCAAAATTTGGCCAAGAGCTGCCAGAGCTAAGGGAAAAGCTGGATAAAGGAGGATCTTGAAAAGCCCAAATCCAAAGAGAGCTACCCACAGAAAGAAAGTATATGCATCGATGTGAGGTCACACACTTTTTCTCTTTCCCTGTCGAGACCGGCATTGGTGTATATGCATCCTCAACATCAACGACTCCACTGCAACATCGACAACCTTTATACCACCACCAGTAGAAACGATTTCGATCGCCGATGATGATTCGGCACTAGAGCTCCGACGCGAATAGGAAGAGACCTTTTTAGTCTCATCACAAGTCACTGTCATGTCCTCTCCCACTCCTCCCCAAAAGTCAGTGACAATGGCTTCTCTCTGTGACAGGAGGAGCAGGCGGATGACTTTCCCAACTCCCGAGGGAAGCGTAGTTCCCGAGGCAAGTGGAAAGCATAGTTCAACCGAACTGGCAAAGAAGGAAGAAGAAACCAAAGGTGTTCGACTCCCGAAACTGAAGCGAAAAGCAAGGACGGCGCACCCAACCGCCAACCAGCATCGAGAAGTGAAATCAGTTAATGCACCGGTGCGAGAAGTTTAATAGTATGAGATGGAACCCTAAAGCAGAGGCGCGAATTCAAAAACCTCACTTGAAAAAGATAAAGGCTCCTCAATCCAAGAGCATGGCGCCCCTATGAAGACGAAGCGGAGCAGAGTAACTGAAGCAGCGAGCCTAGGCAACCAATGCTTTAGTGAAAGAATGCCCAGTCATTAAAACGCTACCAAAGCCTTCTATCCTACTGCCCAAGTTGCCAGGCGAGGAGCGCTCATAAGCGCGAACTGCAAGAAGCTAGAGAGCGCACATAAGGACGCTCCTAAGCGTGAATTGAAGAACTCCCACGAAGGCAGACGCTCATCCACTAATGGGGAAGCTAAAGAAGAGTAGAAGAGATAAAGTAAAGCGCCTAAATTTTCCAGGAAGATAAAGAAAAGAATAGAGGGCAAGGCGGCAGTCAAAGTCCTAACGGCTCGCATTGGAAGCCCATCAAGATGCGGGCCGCCACCATGCCAACCGCTTCCATCAATTGAAAGACGGCCCAATCATATAGAAAGCCTAGCACGAATCCACCCCGTCCCGCCTCCTGCACATCAAGCTCAATCTGACCGCCTCCCATCAGGCTTACGCGGCCCGCTTCGTCTCCAAGGCCCACCATTCCGACCGTCTTGCATACGAAGCCCGTTGCGGCCCAGTTGACCAACGCTTCATGACGCTGACCCATCTCCAACACGACCCTTTATTTGGGCCCGCCCTCGGAACCCGTCGTCCGCATACATTGAGCGCGAATCACCCCACTTCATCATTAGTCAGCCCAATCCGGCCCTCCAATGCCCAACAACCTCTGCCATGGTTCGAACCAATGATGTGCCTTTGACATGCAAACACGCCAACCAGTATGCCACAAGAACACTTTGTGCATCAAGGACGCAACAACCAATTCTTAACCGCTCTCCAACTTCTCTCAAGCTAAGTCAAACTTTACGAATGCATATCTTATACCAAGCCATGCAAAGCGGTTCATCACTATTATGGTAGGCGCTTTTCACAACATGCTATGGATATTTATGCTTTAAATATATTGGGCACTAGCCACTTGCATCTTTCCCGGATACTCGAAGACTCACTCCTCCGGCCTCCGGCTAGGCTTGAAAATCCCCGCCACCGAGCGATGCACCCTCCGGGGAAGACTCACGCCTCCAACCTCCGGGTTAGGCTCGAAAACTCTCACCTCTGAGCGATGCTCCCTTTGGGGGATGCTTCCGAGCGATGCACCCTCCGGGGAAGACTCACGCCTCCAACCTCCGGGTTAGGCTCGAAGACTCTCTCCTCTGAGCGATGCTCCAGGAAGGAGCGAAGGAGCAATGCGCTTCTCAGGAAGCCGAAGCCGAGGATCAATTCGCTTCCCAGGAAGGAGCGAAGGAGCGATGCGCTTCCCATGAAGCCTAAGGAGCAATGCACTTCCAAGGAAGCGAAGGAGCAATGCGCTTCTCAGGAAGCCGAAGGCGCGAGGCATTTCCCAGGAAGCCGAGGAGCGATGCGCTTCCCAGGAAGCCAATGGAGAAACGCGCTTCCCATCAAGCAAAGGAGCAACGCGCTTCCCAGAAAGCGAAGGAGCGATGCACTTCCCAGGAAGCCGAGGAGCAATGCGCTTCTCGAAGGAGCGAAGGAGCGATGCGGAGGACATAACTCAAGAAAATGTCCAAACCCACCGGCTATAGAAGCTGGCCAAAGTGGACAACCACTTACAGGAGGACAGCGAGGTGCTTGTGCACGAGGCAGTAGGCTGCAAGGTGACCGTGCAAGAGGAAGTGGACAGCAAGATGGTGGACAAGAAGGGGCAAATGCAGAGTTCAACCGACCAAAGGTACTGTTACTTAAAGGGTTGAGTTTTATAGCAAAGTCCAACATACTACAATTGCTAATGAGTTTCTTTCATTATTCATTTTCAATAGAGGATGATCCATTGTTCAAAATGTCAACAAGATGGCCACAATGCATGGCGTTGTCCTTCCAATGCAGTTTGAAAGAGTGACTTTATCATTTGTGAAAAGAATGCTGCTACAAATTTATCTTCTATAGACCGAATTAGTAGCTTTATCATATGGAAATAGAAGTCGATTGCAAATTTTATAACTCACATCAAACTTTATTATCTTACAGCTCAATGTCGCTAATCGAGCAGGAGCATCTACAGCGGTCGTTAGTAGGCAAGCAATAGAGATTGATACCATGCAAGTCGCTGCAACTCAACCACTAGAATGAGGACTCTTTAGTAGAATTAGTAACTTATTTAGGAGAAAACTTTGATGGTTAGTTACGTATAATGAGCTTGTGTGGTAAGGCTGAATTGTTTTCTGTCTATCTGATTCAACCACTATTTTGTATTTTATACAAGCTCATTGAGGGTAATTTCTAGTAAACGATATGAATGACTGTAGCTGGGGTGCATGTAGGGATGGCAATGGGTCGGGTCGGGGACGGCGAGTGCATATCCGTTATTCTACCCAAAGTAGTTCGGGTTTTATCCATGCCCATACCCACATAAGAAACGGGTAGAAAATCCAAATCATGCCTATACCCGTTCGGGTCTCGGGTATCCACGGTTATCCATGGGTAATAATTTTTCTTTATAACTCCAATCAATATGTTAATATTTACACGTATTCTCACGTTACGTAAGACGAAAAGTACGACAATTATTCACTAGAATGAAGAAAAATAATTAAAACAACACAATTTCATAAGAAAATTATATTTATATGCTAAATATAAAATATGTTAGAGAAAAATATTGATTATTTCTAGACAAAATACACGTGCATGTGTATGTGTATAATCGGGCGGGTTCGGGTTGGATAGTGAGAAAACAATGCCCACCCATTACCCGCAATATTCGAGTTCGGGTTTTACCCGTACCCACTAAAAATCTTTCGGGTTCGGGTTTTACCCTAACCGATTAGGTCGGATTCGGGCGGATATCCACGGTTACGGATATTTTTTCCATCCCTAGGTGCATGGAAATATGTTTAATTGGTTTGTGAACAAAGAGCTGAAAAACAGCTACTTCATCACCCATAACACAACCTCAAATTGATCCACCTTCGTCAATCAATTTAAATTAAATTCCTTTTCTACTTTATCCATTCGTAAAAGTAAAAGAAAATTAAAAAAATCAGGTATATTTTTTAAATTAAAAAATGCTGACGTGGATAATTTTGCCGACGTGGATAATGATGTGGCAGTGATGTGTCAGCCACGTCATCACAGTTAACGGTGAAATTAACAGATTGCTAAAATTGTCTAACATAATAAAAGGTTTGGCTATTTTATGTTACTAGGTTATAACCGGCCCTTTGGCCGGAATGCTCATATTTGATTATTTGTATTTTTATGTTACTTTTAAGTCTATTAACCCGTTTAATCTTATTGATAATCATTCGATCGAGATGATACATAAAGAAATAATACATAGGTCGAACATTCGAAGAAATATCATAATCATTTAAGAATATAAAATATAAAAATGTATCATTTACCCCATTTTCATAATGCTAATTAAGTCCCTATAAAAATGATATTGGTTAGTTTTTTTTTTTTACAGTCAAGAAATATAGAGTATAAAAGCTCACTGAAATTGTCACACGACCCATAGATAGTTTGAAACTAATTCTTAAACCTCACAATCCTATATAAAGGGTTCAATGCTCTCCTTTTAGAAACAATATGTCACTAGGTTATAACCGGCCCTTTGGCCGGAATGCTCATATTTGATTATTTGTATTTTTATGTTACTTTTAAGTCTATTAACCCGTTTAATCTTATTGATAATCATTCGATCGAGATGATACATAAAGAAATAATATATAGGTCGAACATTCGGAGAAATATCATAATCATTTAAGAATATAAAATATAAAAATGTATCATTGACCCCATTTTCATAATGCTAATTAAGTCCCTGTTAAAATGCTATTAGTTAGTTTTTTTTTTTACAGTCAAGAAATATAGAGTATAAAAGCTCACTGAAATTCTCACACGACCCATAGATAGTTTGAAACTAATTCTTAAACCTCACAATCCTATATAAAGGGTTCAATGCTCTCCTTTTAGAAACAATATGTCACTAATCAAAAAGAAATAGAGAGTTGTTGATTCAAGTCATCTATATACTAAAAACTAAGCTAAGAGGGGACCATCACAACTTGAGAGCAAACGAAAAAATCAGGGTTATCTCTAATATACGAATAGACTCGATTAAAGTAATAAGGCGCAAAATTAGACACTCCTTACCTATTAGTTCCAGTAGGTGAATAAAGAAGCGACCTATTTCAAACAATCAATCAATGATTCCTCGTTTTAAGATAGAAATAGGTTGTGACAGTTGCAAAAACCATAAACCTAAAGATCCAATAGCCACCACTCTCCGTTGTACAACCAAATTTCTATCTCAAGAGGCATATATTCAACCAAAAATTCAATTTGTAATCCTCCTTCTACAACTCCAGTTATTGATGAACTCCATTCTATTCGCCATGGATTGATATCGGAGTTGAAATCTTCTACTCGCCCAGGTTAAAATCCCCAACAATAAAACCGTACTGCAAAGAGATACCTGAAGATTGATTTTCAATGATAGTCTTGTACTAGGAAGTGAAAGGCGCAAACTATTGCACGATGGATGAAATTTCGGAGGAAGTTAGAAAGAGAAAAGAACAAAGATAAAGAAATTTTTTTTTAATTTAAATTGAAAAATGCAAGGATCCAACACGTAGTTACATAATTAGGTTCTTCCATGTTAGCCAATTACCCATTTACCTTTAGCAAAAATTAAGGAGAGAGCGGGAATTTAAAATTGAGAAAATTACATGAAACTCTACTATGAAAATAGAAGTATCAAGCTCGATAAAAATACAGACGGTAGACTTAGTAAGCTTGCTAATTATGATGAAAAAGTCCTCTGATTTTTAGAGATTAACTTTGTCTATGTTTTGTATAAAAAAGGATGCAATAAATTTGTTTAGTGTAACTGGTTGATATTGCTATTTTTATATGAAATAAATCATAAATGTGTAAATACAAAAATGACCTTCCTACTTTCCAAACTCAAAGATCAAGTAGGCAGCTACAAAATTTAAAAATCTCAAGTAGAAATTAGTATTATTTTAGTTTTTTTTTGTAAATTATTATTGTAAAGAATGAATTACGGGTTTGTTGTTAACCATTTATATAAATAATGAAAACATTAACTTTGGTCACATAAAAATTTAACGTACCCAAAAGACGAAAAATAAGATCCATATAGCAATTCGGTATAATATAAGTTGGAGGTAAATGCCACGTTTAGTTACTGAGATTACTAAATCGTGTTATGTTTAGTCACTAGAAAAAAAAAAATACTAAAATAGGTCACATTTAGGTACTCTCCCGTTAGCCTCCGTCCAACTCTGGTCAGTCGAATTACTTTTTTTTTTTATAAATGTCACTCGAATTACTGAAACATGTCCATTTAGTCACTCTCAATGGAGTTGGACGGAGGCTAACGGAGAGTGACTAAATGTGATATATTTTAGTAATTTGAGTGACCAAAATTGATATTAATTTTTTCTAGTGACTAAACATGATATGATTTAGTAATCTCAGTAATCAAATGTGACATTTACCTAGGTTTACTAGAATGGTCAAACTAGGTTAACAGCCAATCAAATTTGGCGGAATGCCATCCTAGAATCCCAACAAACTGTGGACTACTAATTTCCCATCTGACTGCAAAAATTTCCGGTGGCAACGATTTCAGCTTTCCAGTCGCTGCCATTGACGGTCGTCCAATCCCATCCTCTTAAATACCAATCAGCCCAAACCCCATTTCTCAATCATCCAAAACTCATTCCATCAAACAGCATTCACCTCTTCGAGAACACACAAAACCCTAATCACTCTCATCATTCTTCATCAAAACAAAAGAAAAAGGAAAAAATGGCGGCGACAAGTAAATCCACGCTCAGAGTCTGCTGCATATCGGCTACCATCGTCACCCTCGTCACTATATCAGTTTTAGTGACGCTGGCATTGACCGTATTCAAGCCACGAGACCCCGACGTCGTTTTGTATCCCGTCGGCCTGGCCAAACTCCAGCTAAGCGATTTCATCACCAACGACAGCGTCACCAGCGACATGGTGATGAGCATTCGCAACAAAAACTACGCCAGCTTCGAATTCGTAAACGCCACGAGCCACATAAAGTACGACGGCAAGCTCGTGGGCCGGGTTCCGATCGTTCAAGGCACCATCCCGGCGAGATCCACTTTCAACATCACGGCTCCGGCCGTTCTGAGGGCGAAGAGGCTCAGGGAGAATCCGAATGCGATCAACGACATCGTCGGCGGCAGTCTGAACCTTACTGCGACGGTGACGATGCACGGGAAGGTGGCGATGCTGAACCGGTTGATAAAAAAGAAGGGGTCCGTTTATACTGAATGTCACATGACGATTTATATTAGTGAGGTCCCCATTCGTGGCGAGTCTTGGTGCTGGGCTAAGCTCGAGATGTGATTTTATTAGGGCTCGTTGGTGGCTAAACAGTGGTGTCTCTGCGTCGAAGAATTATTTTACAGATCTAAAAAGATTCGAGTTGTAAAACGGAAAGATTGTCTATTTGTGTACACTTTTCAGTAAATAATATCAAGTGATTTGAGCGTATACAATTGCCATTTGACTGAAGTTGAAAAATATTTGGAAATTGGTGTATCTAACCAACAGTTGCGGAGGTAGACATTGAATTGATTTGGGTCGTTAAAATTTTCAAACCACTAAAGTCTGTGTATCTAATGAATTTTAAGTTGATTGATGTAGCAAGAACTAAAAAGTGCATCATGTCTGAATCTAACTGGAGTCATTATTAGATGAGCTACATTGACGAGAGTATGGGGTTCTAAATTCGAATAATAATATTAAGGGCTATTAAATTCACCAATGTCGCGTCCATGTTGTCAGGAAGTCATGTGTCTTGTTAATGTCTTACTTGTGTGAGGCAAGATCAATTGTTCTATTCTAGGAAATTTAGTACTTCGCCTTTTGAGAAGCGCATTAGTCTTTCAGCTTTCTAGAAAGCTTAGTGCTTCATCGGCTTCCTGGGGTGCACTTCTCCTTCGGCTTCCTGGGAAGCGCCTCGCGGCTTCGGCTTCCTGGAATGCGCATCGCTCCCTCGGCTTCCTGAGAAGCACAAAGCTCCTCGGCTTCCTGGGAAGCGCCTCGCGCCTTGGCTTCTTGAGAAGCGCACCACTCATCTGCTTCCTTGGAAGTGCATTGCTCCCTCGGCTTCCTGAGAAGCGCATCGCTCCTCGGCTTCGTGGGAAGCGCGTCGCTGCTCGGCTTCCTGGGAAGCGCATCGCTCTTCGGCTTCCTAGAAAGCGCATTGCTCCTCGACTACATGGGAAGCGCCTCGCCCCTTCGGCTTCCTGAGAAGCGCATTGCTCCTTCGCTTCCTGGGAAGTGCATTGCTCCTTCGCTTCCTGGGAAGCGGTTTGCTCCTTAGGCTTCCTGGGAAGCTTTTACAATGCATCACCATACCACCTCTTCTCATCGCCACACCAGCACCAACTCCTTTAACTCGTGCCTCGAGCTCACCAGCTTCTTTTCTTCTTCGGTCTACCTCGTATTGCTCTTGTTTTTAGAGGATATATCAGATACCCTTCAGTATTAGGCCATGCTTGTGGGCCCACCAAACATGGAATGTCCTCAACATATGCCTTCCTCACCGTTGAGACATGATAGTAATAGAGAAATTTTACAATACTATATAGCATTGGTGATATAGGTTTTTGCATTTATGGTACAACTTCAAGTTGTACCTTTAACGTTGTGGTATAACTTCAACTTCTACCTATATTATTTTACAAATTCTTTTATGGTACAACTTGAACTTTTACCTCTATGTGATGGTACAACTTAAAGTTGTGAAGTTGTACCATAACATAAGGGTACAAATTCCTTTATGGTACCACCCAAACTTATACATTTTACGTTGTAGTACAACTTTAAGTTGTACATTAAAGCACCCATGCTTTATAGCATAGTAGAAGTGCTGATAGTAATGATGCACAAAATCCTCAACATGTTGTCTGGAATGTGCTATTGCTGAGAGTGCATGAATGCAAGGGATTCCACTCAAATTCCAATAGCCACAAGTACAACTATGCCTGCCCAAATCGACTACAAACCCTGTAGACTGCAATCTTACTTCAAACATATTATCAATGCTAGCTCGTGCAACACATTTCTTAGATTTTTTTCCCATCAATTGCTAGCTCTTTCATGATACGTGGGCATATCTTCCCTTCAACTCTCTCAAATAGTTTGTGTTTCTTCCGAATCTGAACCATTAGATAACGCCTTATACCCTCAAGCATTGCAATAATTTGGTACTCCCTAAACTTCAATACTCTTGCATTCCAACTCTCACATATGTTGCTCTCAACCGAGTCTGACTTTGGAATTCTAGATAGAAATTCCCTACAAAATTTGTTTGGTTCTCGTTCCACGAAGTCTGTATACGGGGTGACCATTTCAGTTTGTGTACCTTGGAAAGCTTCCATTGCACTAGTGGCAACTTTGAACTCCGACTCATTGCAAGCGTACACAGCCACACAATAAGTATCCCACATTTGTTGATTCTTGTTCTTCACTTTCCAGTTAGCAAAGACATGACATGCACACTTCCTGTGCTCCGTACTAGGCATTATCGAATTAATTGCTTCAATCAACCCCTACACATCCCACATTATGCCCAATAGAATTAATAAAATGAAATTGCAGATTCTATAGCATCCTTATAGAAGAAAATGGCAGGATCTACTATTATTAAAGAACTATATTTTGTTCTAAAGATGTAAATAAATGAAGTACCTTTTGCTGATCTGAAGCAATGCTCCATCCACGCCCTTCCCCAAAGCCTAATTCTTCTTGCAAAGTCTGCAGGAACCATGTCCATGAACTTCTATTCTCACCTTCCACAACAACCCATGCAAATGGGTACATATGATGATTTCCATATTTGCCCACGACAGTTAGTAACATTCCTATTACTTCACCCTTTCAGAAGCAACCGTCTAGTGAAAACATAGGCCTACAACCTGCTAAAAATCCCTTTTTCAGACTTGAGAATCCAACATAAAACCTCTTGAACCGAACCTTATCATTACAGAGTTCTATATCAACCTCAAGAATGAATCGTCCATGAGGATCTGCATTCATTAAGGCAGCCACATAATTCCTCAATTTGTGGTACTCTCCTTCAAGTGTCCCATGCAATATTTTTCTACCTTGAATCTTGGCTCTATAGCATGTCTTAGGTTCAACTTCAATCTTGAGTTCTTCTTTCAACTCTTGAGCAATTTGTTCCGGCTTACAATCAGGATTGATTCTGAAACGCTCAAGCTAGCAGTTGGCTATGAACCTAGCAATTGCTTGATTAACTCGCACCGACCTAGTACATGTGTGAGACATTCCAACTTTTCTAATCATAAAATATTGCATTTCTCCCCACCAAGCAGCATACAACCTCCTTTCACAGGTACTGACCTTACACTTTACCTCCATCCTACTTGGATTGCTTCTTGTCCATATGACATTTTCCTAGAAGCAACTGCATGCTTCTGTACGACAGCTTTGAATTGCTCAGTACTTGTGAATTTAAGCCCCAAAGAGAATTGCAATGTCTTGTGATCAGATCTAGGATCATAAGAGGGAAGATTTTCATACATTTACACCAACCCATCATCTAAAACATCGAGCCTTGCATGATCTGAAGCTTCAGATCTTCTGCAGTAAGAAGCTGATTCTTCTTGCACTTGTTGGTAATCATTACAAGGAGAGCGCTCTTCATTAGAATAAACAGCAGCATCATCTTCATCACTATATGATGAATCATAATCTTTATCAGGATAATATGAAACATGATGCATCTCCCTAGCCACAGAGTTGTTACCACTTACCAGGATGCCCTACAAAATCTCTACCTGCATTTACTTCCTCAGTATCTCCCATAGAACCATCATTCGGATCAACAGCTTCTAAAAATATTGCATGTCGGTTGTTTGATTATCGATGGGAAGAAAGGGGATTCGATCTGTCTGTTGATGTGACTTGAATCGGACTATCAGCCGCTACGACTGGTAAACGGGGGTCTCGCTGTTAGTGGGCTCAATGTTACTTGGGTTCGGGTTCTGGGCCTGGTCTGTAACCGTTTCCTTTGCCAGATTGGATTAGGTTTAGACCCACAAGGAGAAGTACTATAAATACTTCTCATACTCCTATGTAATCTGTAATCTCCTCGATATAGTGAAACTGGCTCTCTCTTGCCCGTGGACGTAGCTAACACACATCGTGTTAGTGAACCACATAAATCGTGTGTCTGTGTTTTTCGATTCTCGCTTTCGTATTCTTGCTTTATCGATTCCGGCGATTTCCCGATCCGTAGCAGCGCGTTTATAACAAGTGGTATCAGGGCCCCTGGTTGGAAATCAGGTTAGGGTTTTCGATTCAGAAGAATGACGTCGGTGAACATGAAGATCAAAAAGTTCACGGGGAAGAATAGCTTCGCTATATGGCAGATCAAGATGCAGGTTTTATTAAAACAGCAAGGGCTGTGGGGGCCGCTGTCTGCGAAACAGAAGAAGGCAGCGGTCGATGACAATGAGTGGAATACCCTGGAGGAGAAGGCCCACTCGACCATCATGCTATCGTTGTCTGATGACGTCATCATTGAAGTCGATGCTGAGAAGATTGGCGCGGGCTTGTGGTTGAAACTAGAGAGTCTGTACATGACTAAGTCTCTAACCAACAAGCTGCATCTCAAGCAACGATTGTTCAGCTTGAGAATGCAAGAAGGTACGCCTTTGAGGGAAAATCTCGAACAACTTAACTCTATTTTGCTGGATTTGCGTAATATAGATGTTCAAGTTGATGACGAGGATGCTGCCCTAATCCTGTTGGTTTCTTTGCCGAGTTCATATGAGGATTTCGTTCATTCTTTTATTGCTGGTAAAGAAAGCGTGTCATTGGAGGATGTCAGGTCTGCTCTTCATACGAGAGAGATCAGACATAAGGCGTCTGGATCTGGTACAGGTGGTGAGGCATCGGGTTTGGCTGTTACAGGTGGAAAGGGAAAGAAGAAATATGGTAAAGGGAATTCGAACAAGAATTCCAAGGGTCCCGGTCCACAGCCAGGTGATGCTTGTCACAACTGTAAGAAAGTGGGGCATTGGAAGTACAACTGTCCCAAGAGAAGAGGGCAACAGAAGAAACAAGGTTCAGTTGCTGTGGCAGAAGTGGACAATAGTTCTGAAGACGATCTCGCCTTGGCTGTAGATGAGAAGGCACATTGTGGGGATGTGTGGTTACTGGATACTGCAGCCTTATACCATATATCTCCGAACATGGATTGCTTCACAACCTACGAATAGATAGATGGTGGTAACGTGGTCATGGCTAATGGAGCTGTCTGCAAGGTTGTTGGAATCGGGTCCATAAAGGTTCGGACACATGATGGTTCATTCTGTACCGTGAATGATGTCAGGCATGTTCCATGAATGACAAAGAACCTGATCTCCTTGAGTCTACTCGACAACAAGGGTTTCAGTTTCAAAGGAAAAGGTGAAGTTGTGTATGTCTGCAAAGGTTCAAGGAAGGTGCTGAAGGGCGTGAAGCGTGGGACCTTGTATGCATTACAAGGGTCTGTGTTGTCTGGTTCTGCTGCAGTTGCATTGTCTCAGGTTCATCAGGAAGATATGACCACTCTCTGGCACATGAGACTGGGCATATGAGTGAATGGGGGATGCAAGTTCTGT